TTAGATTCAAAGTTCCAGAAGATTTTGTCCTCATTCAGAGTGAGCTCTTGTCCAGCAGGAGCTGATTCATCAAACAGACCGATTGTTACTGTTTTCACAGACCCGTCATCATTTTTCTGCCAGTTGATCACATCATAGATTGCAAGAGCATCTCCGTTCTCATCGAAGGACACCCTGTCTCCATAGTGAGTAGTGAAGTTCACTCTCGCCAGGTAGTGCAGCAGCTGAAATAATAAAAATGATTGAATTTGAACCAAGACTTTAGCCCAACTGACTCTGTGAAAATAAAAACAGCTTACAGCTAAATAGCACAGAATTAAATTACATTAATCACATATATAGAATTAAGCATTACATATAATTTTTTTATTTATTGTGCAGATATATGAAGAAGTACTTTTATCCTACAGATGATGATTACAATGGTTATTTTGCTGTCATAACAGTTCAGAAGCAAAATGTTTTTCTGATATCTCTGGGTAGTAAACAATAGCTTATAGTTTCAGTCTCTTATGCTGCATTTTGTCATTAATACAGTAAAAGCGTAATTAGAAAAGGAACAGTTTTATGGAGTGTAAGACGTATTCTGAACAGTTTTAATCTGATGTATTATTCAACTTTTAAATCAATTTACATTTACAAGAAGAAAATAAATTGTATTAAGTTGTAAAATAACAATACATTGACAAACATGATACTGTAGAAGGAAATTATTATTCCCATCATATGGATTATTCTATTGAAGTCATACCCATATTTGCAGAGGAACAGCAGTTCTCACCTGCCAGGGCTGCACAGTTGTGATGTCTGCACAGGAGTTATTCTGAAAGGGCCCTTTTCCAGGCTCACAGGACATCAGGTTGTGCAGGGAGTGTGCCAAGGCGTACACTGCTTTATACACGTTGTAGGAAGCCCGCAGTTCTGACACATCACTGTAAGCACTTTGTATGTCTTTAATATTTTCTGATGCCGTACAGATTTTGTTCCTCATTTGAGATGAGAAATTATAATTATTTGATGTCTTCTGGAATGTGCAGTCAAACATTTCTTCCCAAAATTGCTTGACTAAATTATTACTGGAATGGAAAAGAGGGCGAACCTGAAGGAGAAATTTCTCCAGTCCTGGGATTTCTCCCCTGCGGATTGCAATTCCTATTGTCCCTCCAAATGAGTGGAAGTTTTCCTCCTTGACTATTATTGTTGAGGTTGTCCAGGCTTCGCTGGCGATCCACTGCCTTTCTATAACTTTTTGCTGATCAATCTCTTCAGCCAAAGGAATAAAATAGGCTTCTGTTGAAAAGACAACAATAACTCTTGCTGTTGACTGCTTAATAGTGTTGATGATCTGATGTATTCTCATTCTTGGATTGACACTGGGGAGGGTTTCTGAGAAAGCTATACATCCAAACTTGTTTACCTCCTCAATAAAGCTCTTGACAGCACTCTGACCGTAGTCATCATCACTTGCTATGACACCAACCCAGGTCCATCCATAGTGCCTGAGGATTTGAACCATGGCTTTGACTTGAAAGGCATCACTTGGAATTGTCCTGAAGAACGAAGGGAACTCCTTTCTGTTGCTGAGGCAAGAGCAAGTAGCATAATAGCTGACCTGAAAATAAACACAATCATGAAACAAAGATATATTTTAAATATCAATAAATAAATAAGAAACTTTGAAAGACAGAAACTTTTAATAAGGTCATGAAGAAATGAAAGTCCTACTGTAGTTATTTTTTCATATCTAGTCTAATATGTTACAGATGTAAGTATCGTAATCTGACAGCAGTAGTTGACTAAAAATAATTGTGTTGTATGACAAATATTTGTAATATATGTAATTTTTAATGTTTTTTCATTGGAACCATGAGGTGATAAACAATATTCAGATTATTAGTATTTATAATATATATTATACAGTATTTTATTTTATAATTACTCCAAATAATGGTATTTAAACAAACAAAATGCATTATATCATGCTTGTTGATATTACATCTATTTTTAAGATAGACTAATCAATAAAATATTTTCTGTACCATTGGACTCCGGAAGAGGCCCAGCATTCTTGATATGGCAATAGAATGTGTAGAACCAGGATCTCCAACAATGGCTAAGACAGGGGGAGTCCCTGTACAGCTGTAGTCAGTAAAGGAGTCCTCCTCTCCGCTGATCAGAGCTGTTGCTACTCTCAGAGCCACTGCCAGGTTCACACAGTTGTCATACAGCCTGTATCCCAGTGTGATGTTGGGGAGAAGAGCAGGGTCTCTGTTGATTTCCTCAATAGCAAAAGCCATGCTCTGTGCCCACTGAAATGCTGCAAAATAAAACCTAGAAAGTGACAAAGCATTCTAAAATGTAAATATTGTAATTGGATTATAGGATAGACGAATAATAGTTTTTAAATAATCTTAGCTCTCGAAAGCTATTTAAACATACATGCAGTAGCTTGCGTACTGTATAACTTGATGATGTTGAGCTTTTTCACAAAGTATTTTGTTTGACAGAAAACATTTTCAGCTAGCACAAACTGTTAGAACTCACCTCCCACATTTGAAATGGTCTGGTTTTGAAGTGTAAGACAACTCAGGATAGGTAACAGTAACATGAGTTTCAAATACTCCCCCCAGAATAATATCTCCATTT